CCTGAATATATGGATTAACCATCCCCTCCTTTCTTCTTCCTACTCTGAGAGTGACCACCTGCTAATGCACAAACTCCATAGATAGATCCGTAGGCGGCGTATGGCCGACGGATGAATGGAGGGACAAAGAGTGCATTTTTAAAGTCTAGAGTAAAGTGTGGATGACAGATGGGTAATTAGTACAAGTGTCTGTCTAATCCATCTGCACCGAGTCGATTCACACGCAGGAAGCCACAGAGGTGAAACTTCGGCCACCGCTTGCCGCTAAACGCTCTGGATTAGCTGGGAGGATCCTCTCTCAGAGCGAGATGCTGCTCTGGGCCTGAACATGCATGTCTGCCTCCCTCCTGCTGGGTTTGTGTTGCTGATGAGGAGCGAGGCGTTTGCATGTGCATATGTGTTGCTTCTGCACGCAGCCCCTACGCAAGCCCTCTCTTAAGTCACGCCACAAAAACACAAACGGCAACAACTTCTCAGAGGGAGGCCCGCGCTGTCATGGTAACAGCGTAGAGTGACCTTCAGAGGCTGCGGATGCTCCCTAGAGCCGCCTCCTTTTCTGCCTGGCTTGGACTTTGTGAATCATCAGCAGCATTGAAATTCACACTGCTCCCTCTCTGGAGATTTGGGCTTATTAAAATGGATGAGCAACAACGAGGCCAAATTTTTCTGTAATAATTAAAAAAAGAAAAACATTCAGGTGTAAAATATCGTGCAGTATTACAGGGGTTGGCAGGTTGTTATGTAATGTTTGTCCTTTTCAACAAGAGACACATGAGGAAGGGAGTCCAACTAACCACAGGTGGGATATGAAATTACATCTGTCATGACAAGGATTCGGCTCCAGATTCCCAGACTGGATAATATTTTATGAGGGTGTTCAACCAGGGGAGATTGTCTCCAAGGATCACTGAACACACAATCGGCCGAGTCTCCACTGCACGGTGGGGACGCTGCCACCCGCTGGTGAAGAGCAGGAATCGGGCGCCGATGCAACTCCTGGAGCTCCACAACTGGACCAACGGCAGCACTGGACTCAGAAGATACTGGTCCTGTTGGGTCAAAGTCTCAGAAATAAGGCAAAAGCCTGACAGTCAAAACAGTGCAGGAGTCATGGCTATGTTTCTGAAGAGGGGAGCTTTGATGATTGTGATCAAGACAATTATACATTGATCGGGAAATGCACTTCTAGTTGCCTTGGAAACCACTCGGTCTGTAATTCGGCAGCTCATTTCTTTGCCAAGACACAAACTCTTACAACCCATTAAACTCGACCTTTGACACAGCGATGAGTAACAGAGTATCAATATCCATGTGAGGCAATAACTAAATTTGTTGTGCATTTCAACACTGTGTAAAACCTGCGTGTTAATGTATCTGGAACACCTTTAATTTAAGTTATATTTGTAAAACTGCTGTTTTAATCACTTAAAAGTCAAAATGACAATAAAGAATCCTTGTAAAGCATTATTATATTATTGATTCTTTACCCAACAGGATATCATTGTCTTAGAAAGGCACTAAACAGTTTAGCACATATTTTATTTTCAAACTTAAATTTAATAAAATAATTAGGTTGCCGGAATCACAAGTGCCCCAGGGTTAATAAGGACTGATTAAATTAAACCCCATGTCTTATTGGAAATAGAATAAGGAGGGACATTTTCAATGAATATGAAAACGCTGCAAAATTAGTGTAATGTTAAAAATGAAATGCAAGACATCGGGCATTTTACAGAACTTTAAACACCATATTTGAACCAAATGTGTAAAGAAAACTCAAAATAAATGTTATTTTTATTGAAGTAACATAACTAAAATTAAGAATTCCAACCTTTATTTTGGGAATGTAATCAGTTTCATTCTTTCCCATTTGGACTTTGTAAAACCTCCTCTGCTGTCAGGACTCTTTGCATCTTTGACTTTTCACAGTTTGTCACCAGAAAATATTCCAGCCATTTTACTTGTTGCCCTCACTGCAGGTACAAGCACATTTAGGAAAGTAGCAAAGTGCCTGTAGCCATTTGCTGAGGTGTAAAGATCAACATATTTCTGAGTGATTCAAATCTTATGTTTTCTTTGCATTTACATTTTGCAAAATGACCGTAGAAAATATATATCAAACAATTCCTTTGCCCATTACTAAATTGCAAAGGAAATGTTTTGTTGAATTAAAACATCATTTCACTTAAATGTGCACAATTGTGCCTAGTCTAAAATGTTAGGAGGAAACTTTTTGGTGAACCATATTTAAAGTAATTTGCATTTCAAAGGAATCCAAGAGTAGAGCTTTTTATCCACATTCCTGGCTAAAACAAACATCAACATCATAATTTTGGCAATAAATATTTCCACATCCCAGTCCTCGAACATTTAGAGACTAAAATAAATAATCAAAAACAACATTTTGCATTCTAGCCTGATGAGCCAAATTATGCCATTTGGTAAATGTCAGGCAATTGGACCATCATCAGTTGATTTTCTTTTCCGTTTGTGAACGTTTAGTACCATGTTGACTTTTACAGAAAATTTCAACAAAGGGCAGCTCCACATGTGGCTGAAGTTATTCAGGAAAAAGCTTTCACAAAGTGAAGTCTGATTATTGCAGTTTTCCACCTCCGGGTTTAACAGAACAAATGGTGACAAGTTCAGACAAGTTAAAAAAAAAAAAAAAAGCAGCACTTTTATGTTGAAAGATTGAAGTAACTTCTAACATTCAAAGATTGCTGCTTATACTGGAAGCATAAGGAGACATTTATTAAAGCCTCGTTTCATCACCAGCTCTGGTTCGAGGTTTAAAAGCTTGGTGGTCATTCTCCCAGTGCAGTTGGGGAAATGTATCTGCTGCGATAAAGCAGGGCAGTAGGAACGGTCAGAGGAAATTGCAAAAAGCGCATCAAGTGTCGTTCTACCCATCTGTTTTTCCTCTTTCAGGCATCCTGACCCCTGCTGTGTCCTGTGCGGATGAGCGCCTTCCTGCACCGAGGGACCCTGGAGATGGAGAAGATTGGGCAGAGAAGCCAGAACACGAAGCTAACGGATAATAAAATGTTTGCAGGTATCTCCAAGAACAAGATAAGGCTTGCTGCTCATCGGTCTCTCAAGTATCAATGTGGTCTGTGGAAGAGAGAAAGATGGAGAAAGATACAACATGCATGCACATTCTTGTTTCCCAGATAATGATTACTGAACTTAAATGTGGTGCTTAGATGTTTTATTAGATGGAAAGACCAAAAAAGGAGAAATAATTCATGCACCTTAAACAGTTCCACATGTTATCACATGTAGCAGTTATAAAGCTATTCTAAAATCTATCAATTTAATTATGCAGGGGTGAAATGTTTTCTTACTCCAAGAGAGTAACAGTTTAAAAGTTTTGTCACAGATTCAAATGGAAATTTATACCTGGGCTTTGACTAGGCACTTCTGACACATATAGGTAAGTACATTTGTCCTGCTGGAAGGTCAACCTTGGACAAAGTGTGAAATCTTTTACAACCGGTCCCGAGTCTTCAGCAGTCTTGGGCTTTTCAAGAAAAAAAAAAAAACTGGGTGCGCTGAAAAATCTATTTGTCAAAAACATTTGTTATATTTTGCAACGGTAGAGCTACATTGCGACTAATGGAAATTTTCTCTATTATGAATAAGTTGGTTCAGTTATTTAGCATTCAGAAGGTCGAGTCAGAGGTTAGGCAGAAAAATGTTCAGGCCGCACAAGAACACAGACCAAGTGAACGCCACTAGCTTTGTACGGTGCGTCGAAAGGTCGAAGAGATTAGAAAAGGGCTTCATTATCACGGCACACTCTCCATTTGTCATCTTAAAATGCATCAAGTGTGAAGGTCAGGAGCCGTTAACATCCAGAATTGCAGTCAGGATCAGTTTGAGGTCCTTCCTATTGTAGGACCTACATCTTCAGTAGGAAGAAAAAGCAACCAGGAGTTTTTCTTCTAAATTAACCTCACAAATTTTCTTCAGGTTATTCGCAATTTTTGTTTTTAACTGCAATAACCAGTTATTGCAGCTTTTCTATAAAAGTCGAGGCTTATATTTGTATAACTTAAGTCCCAGATTTGTATTGAAACTAAAGCAGATGAAGCAAAATGACTGGCTTGGAACGGCGCAAAATCAAGTGGTGAAATCTCAAACAAAAAAACCTGACTTTGAAAATCATTCTGCTGCAATTGAGCTCGATTGTGTCTTTAAAAGGTGGTGCTCAAAATAAAATGAATTTGAAAGTCAATATGTGCACACAGCAGATAAATATTAGATGTTTGTGGGAATGGACAATGCGTTCTTAGGTCTGAGCCAGTAAATTCCCGCTAATGTTCCCAATGCTTCTGTGTGCAATATTGGTACGTCTTCTTTCCCAGACCACACTGCAACTTGATGCAAACATTTTCTTGAAAAGCTTTAAAAAAAACACTCTTCAGAGAAGTGCTGACAAACCATTTCATCACACGCAGAGAAACCTGTAATTTACGGAGCTATGATGAGACTGAAAGCATTGTGACAGTGTCTGAACTTCAGTGGAGGTCTGATGGAGCTGCTGAGAGCTGAATGGCAGCTTATCGTGACTAACCAAAGGCAGATATGGATTGTCTGTGCCCTCTGTGGCTATTCAAAATGACAAACCTCGCAACTTTCCATAAAAATGCTAATAGGGATTACGCAGAGAGCCTCCAGCACTTTCCAGCCACAGAAAGAGGCCATTATCTGGAAATTTAGTGAACATTAGTCAGATACAGATTCTTCCCTCCTTGCTCTGTCACTAGGTGGGGGGAATTAATGCGCTTCAGTTGCATAATAAGTGAGATAGGGCTTTTTAATGTCTCGGATGGAGTCAGGTTAGTGATTGACATGTTGAATCATTATCGGCAGAGAACCAAGAGGAGGAACTAACCCCCCCTACATGCACCACCACCACCGTCACATTGCATTACGGGCTCAGTAGCACAGTATCATCGCATCGAATTAGCGTTAATGAACACAAGCGAGTCGACTGAGAGAGATAATCAAACTTTTATTAAATGACTTAATCTTCTGTACATGCGTTAAGTAATGGAAAGAGAAATAGATCGGCGATGTTGGTCCGTAAGGGGCTGGTCTTTCACCCCAAAACGTGGGAATGCATCGCCGCTTTAAGATTACCTGCTGCAGCAAGAAGCTCCCCGGAGTAAAATGGTCTCAATATGCAGCACCTTGCAAACGTATTCATAGCCATTTTCATATTTGTTTTCCAAGCTACGGCCACAAAGAGGCCACTTAATTGTGAAGTAGAGAGAAAATTATGTGTGGATTTCTAACATATTTAAAGGACAAAAGTTGAAAAGTGTGGCATGCATTTGCATTCAGCCCCCCTTTTCTCTGAGAACTCTAAATAAAATCTAGTGAAACCAAACTGTCTTAAAAAGAAATGTTGTGTAATTTAATCTGTGCATATGTAGTTATTCTTGTACAAATGTTGACTTTCATATTTAGAGGAGGGTGATGGGCAAATACAAATGCACTCCAGACTTTTGACATTTTCATTCGTAAAAACATTTGCAAGACTTTGTTGCTCCGTCTCATGAAATCCCAGTGATGCTTGTGATGTAACGGAATGTGGGAAAGTTCACTGGTTATGAATGTTTTTACAAGGCCGAGACTGCCCCTTAACTAAACAAAGCAGATTCAGTTTGTTCCAGCAATTCATCGCAGGAAGTGGTTCTCTTGTAGCTTAGAAGCACCAAAATAAAAAACTATAAAAACCTGTAGTAACATGTAAACACCCCTAAAGCTTTTTGACACCAACAAGAAAATGAGTCAAGATGCTAATAAAATGCGTAAAGCTCAGCGTCTTCATTTCAGTTGGACATATTTACCAAATTAAAAATTTAAATAGGCTCCTGCTGGATTGAAATGTACCAATGCCATTTATTCGAGAAAGCACCAGGCTTCAACAAGTTTGAAAGAAGGAAAAGAGAAAAGTTTCATGCACTTCAAGGCACTGCGCCCACTTTGGCTGGTGATACTGTCGCAGTGAATGTTTAATTTGGTCCAAATGCTGCAGATCCTTTTTTCTTCTTTTTTTTAAAGATTGTGTGAAAGATTTTCCGTAACTAAACAGGTTTTCTTGTGCCTAGTTATTCCTGCACGTACATTCAAAGTTTTATTTCTTTTAAGATATTGACAGAAATCTTGACAAAGAACAATCTAAACAGGCTATGTACAATACATTTACATTAAATATGTATAAGAAGATAGACAACCTCCACCACTCAGCCTAGATTTCACAACAATTGGTATACATGTGTTTTTGTTTTTAACTCTCAAAAGGTCAATTTGCCCCTTTTTGTCATTTCATACCAATATGTGCCACTTCACCCAATGTTCTTTAAATTTTAAACCCATCTCCTAAAGCCTCAGGGCATTGGTTTATACTTATCTTCATAAATCGAAGATAAATGATCAGTGAACCATAAAAATTGTATTAAATTTAAGTTATTATCCTGAAAACTCACATTACATTTTAACTCCATTTATTTTGGTTCTAATTCACAAATGAAGATCTACATCTATAAAATATTACATAGTATAAGCAACCTCCTAGATACTGGAGATACTATCCTAAAGGATAGATTATAGAAAATGACAATCATAGCATTCGTTTTTCAGCTATGAAGTGGAAAAAGTCAGTATGTAACATCCAGTTGCTTTGGTGGTTGAAAACTGGAGGGATAAAAAGCAAAAGGGGGCAAATGACCAGCATTCAACAAGACGGATGATAAGCTAAAGTAATCTACACCAAATGAAACGGATGCAAGGCCACGTCGTAGGATCTAACCTCCAGCAGGATGTCGGGCAGACGGATCGAGTCGCTGGACCAATCAGAGCAGCTCTACCTCGTCAGCTGTCCCACCACTTTCAGCAGAGTCTTGTTCTCTTGTTTGAGCTGCTCATTTTCATCTTCAAACTCATCCAGGTCCTGTGGAGAGGACACAGCGCACCACTGTCTGTACCTTCTACATGAATACTCCACACCCAACCGCTTCATTACTCTGAGAGAGTCTGCCTGGGTCGAAGTCTGAAAGTTAAAACGAGGTTTACTCTGAAAACTGAGGCTGTCTTGATGGCAGCAAATTAGCCATCGACAGCCTCAATTAGTTGCGAATGACGGCAGCTCCAAGTTGCAACAGTTCTCACTTATCAAGCTGACACTTCTCATTTATTCTCGCCTCCATCACCGCCTATGATTGTGTTGTTGTTGGAAATGAGCTGAACAACATTAGGAGGAAATTAAAGACTTGTCCTAAAAGTACCTAATCTTTACTGTGGTACTTTTTTCTTTTAAGAACAATGCAAGGGAAGTTGTTTTCAAAGAAACCTGCAAGGATTTCAAATGCAGATGTTTTTGATGCTTAGCATTGCGCAAATATCAACCGTTTTAAAGTTTTTTCAAGTTTGAGGCTCAGAATGTTTCTCGTTAGAAATACGATCTAACCAGGATCAATAACACGCCTCTTTGAACTTTTGTGAACTCAAGCTCTCTCGAAAGCTTATCAAAGAGGAGATACAAATCCGAACCTGAGCGTTATCAGGTTTTTTTTTTACACCCAAATAAACTTCCACGGCGTCGGAGGGTTCAATCTAGCTCTGCAGAGATGCTGGATCGGCCGTTATCTCCTGCCCGACATGCGGCCCCTGCAGCAGCAGCAGCTTCGCTCGCAGATATTCCTCATGCTTCCTCCAGCATCCTTATATAAAACCCTACTGCTATAACAGGATGCGTGTCCCTGCGATGCTATCAGAGTGATGCCTCCTGCAATATTGCATCCTTTGTGTTTACAGATGGGTCGCGTGGCGTCCGTCATAACAAAAGTGGACAGATAATAACCAGGAGACATTCATTCAACTCGCTGCCAAAAAATATGCACATCCCTGACAGCCAGGTTTGATCTGTTTAGACTTTCCTAGGCTCCACAGAAAGAAAATATCAATTTCCTAAGAGTAGTTTAGATATGACAATCTGCCATTTTTGCTCCGAGAGAAGCTAAAAGATGTTCTGTCAACCAGTCGTTGAGTTGAGTTGAGTTGGGATTGTTGGGGTATTTCCTTTTTTTTCTTTTTAGCATTTTGTGGAAAGTAAACAGGCTTTATTCTTGTTGCATAAAATGTTATTTTTGATCAAATTGCTGTATAAATTGATCCGAGTATCATGAGTCACACAAGGATGCCCTTAATTAATTGTAATAAGCACACAACATTCAAGAGAGCCCCACTGATTTTAAAAGACTTTACTAAAAATCTGATCATAATAGCTAACTATTTAACATGACACACTTGAGTGTGACCCATCAGAGCGACTGTGAGAAGCATATCTACGGAAATGATCTGGCTGATTGTGGATTCGTTTAAAAATGAAGACTGTGCCCTACTGGGTACGATGAACTTCAAAAACCCTTTTTAAGAGGAGGAGTCCAGCTGTGAAATGACATCTTTCCTCTAAAACGGTGGTTGATTGTAATCTTTGCCGTCCCACCAGAGGAAGTCTGACAATGTAACACTGATTAGCAAGTAGGTACGGTTGTAATTTCATAATCCTTTTGTTTGGCTTTTAGTTCTACTTTTACTAAATGTAAAATCGCACGGTAAGAGTTGAGAGTGAACTTCATTTGTTAAGTTTATAATCATGACTTTAACCTTAAACCTGCGAAACAAGCTGCTGCTGCAAAACAAACCCTGAGCTCTTTTTGACTCATTTAATTTGTGATTCCTAAAACTCAAGTATTTCTGTTTGAACAGCCTTTAAATCCCAGGCATGTGAATAAAAGACTAAAAAATGTTCTGCCCACAAAACCCTCAGAACTGTAATACAAGACTTCAGTAAAATGCCAAATGATTCTGAGGCCTACGCAGGCTGCCCACACCTTACCAGGACAAAAAGACTCAAAATATCAGACGTTTGAGCATGTTATAATTACAGTAATAAGGATAATGGAGGCTGCACTCACCAGGTTTAGCAATTCGATTTCCTCCTTCAGTTTTTCAATGACTTCGTCTTTGTCCTGAACGACCTTCACCAGCCTGGACAGTTCCTGAAGCACATTTAGGGTCATAAAGAATCAATACATGCAGAAAGCTTAGTAGGCTCACCAACACATGAAAGATATGCATTTGAAAATAGTGCATAAATAGTACAATTATGTGAAATTTTGGGTCGAGCAAATGTTGTATGCAAGTTATTTTAGCCATTCAGGGTTCCTGTACATTTTCCAAAGTTTCTCAGCTCTTTTCTGTCATAAAAGAAATTCACTGTGAATTCATAGAAAGACGGGGCTTTCTATGAATTCACAAACCAGACACAGAGATTTAAGGTGAATAGATAGACTGATGGAGTAATCTGGATGGATGATGCATGAACATTTGGAAGGACAACTTTTGTTATTCATGGAATGAGGGATGGGTGAATACATGGATGGATGGAAAAAAAAACAAATGGATGCATATTGAATAAAAGATGGATATGAAGAAGAAATACAAGGATATAAGGACAAAAGGATGGACTGATGCGAACAAGAATGGGATGTAAAGTCTAGAAATATTCATGTTTTGTCTTTTATTACGATAATAGAAGGAAGAGCAATAAATCCTAAAGCCAATGGGAAAACCAAAAATGATTTGAAAATCTCTATTTTTATTTATTTGATTGTTGTTGGAAACTTACATTATTGTTGTAGGATCATTTAAATATTCAGTTCCTTACAATATCTGAAAAAGCAATTTATTTCCTCAAAATTGTATGTAAAAGTCAGTCTTAAAGTGTGCCTTTACCCAAAGCCTGAAATAAGCCATTTCTCTTTATGTGGGATGGAGACTCTGAACACATTAGATGAACATTTTCAAACTGTTCTTTTATTATGTTAATGAACTCAAATCATTATTTCCACACTGTACTTTTTCTGTTGCAGACAGATACGACATTGTCTCCATAGTGACCAAGTAGAGGTGCAGAAAATGGTAAAACATAATGAAGAGGACACAAAAAAAATCTTTTCAACCATTATTTTAAGAGAACATAACTATGTCTTTGAACTCCCACACAGATACCTGAAGAAATGATTCTTCCGTTCCTTTTAAACCAAAGCATGTATAGGAGCTAGACTCTTATTAATTTTTAAAAGTTTAGCTTGTTTGATGTGATCTGTCTCAAGGTTATTTGTGTTTATGTGCAACTTTTATCTAAGGAGCCTCTGCGTACTTTGTGTGGGCGTATTTGGTCTTCTCCAAGGATCTAAAAAGTTAAAATCTCAGACAAACAAGCCCGGCTATTTGCGTGGAAGTGTAAGAAACAACCCACACCAAAAACAGAAAGTGCAAGACACCGCTTCCAAAGCACTTTTAGTCATTTGACCCCGAGAAACGTGTCACGCTGAAGTGATTCTGAGTGGAGTTTTTCCACCGTGGAAGCAAAAGACATATCTGCACTGGTAAAGGGCATCTCTTCCATCAGCACAGAGGATTTCTGCCACAGTTTTTAGGCAGAAAGTCAAAAATTTAACGGTTGGACAAAGAACTCGAATGGATCATATCTTCTGAACAGAGCTCTTTTTTATTGAGGCGTTAAGTTTAACAATCCAGAGTTACTTTCAGAGCAGGGAAACACAGAGGATCCCATTTTTATTTGAAATATCAACTAGAGAGTACGACAAGATTAGGGGTGAGATGCGGGGTCTTTGTTAAATTGCTTATTGGGATTTGTGCTCTGCTGTTCCATTTTCTGTCTCGTCTTTTCCAGGTGTGACTGGTATTGTATTAAGATGCAGGTAGGCATTCACAGAGCAAGGCTGCATGATTTCAGGAAATATTTATCAATCAATTTTGATTTTAATCATCATTATGTGATTCTTTAACAAATAAAAAATGCTTAACCCACACATGCAAACTCCATGTAGAAAAACTTCAACCCATGAATCCAATGCAGCACTTTTTTTTTGTGCAAAATTACTTTAAATTTAATTAGCAGAGTCCTTACTAGATAAAGAGGGTGTTTGAGATCATTCAAAGAAAGTGTGGCAAGCAAAATCATCTATAAACCTTCAGTGAACATCTGTAATTATACATACAAGTTTCAAATCTGATGACTTCTGAATGCAATTGCATTTACTGCATTTCACTTAAACATCACAATAAAAGGGAATACCAATGCGTATATATCATATTTGGTTTTATGTTCTTAAAAACTGTAGATTTATTTATTTATTTTTACTTTAGTAAAGCACCAATTTGTGTTGGTCCGTCACACAATATCTCATTAAAACACCCAGACTGATAATAATCCACCACCTGAAGCAAAGTAATATCACACTTGTGTGACAGGAACAGGACAACACACTCTGACCTTCAGGGAGCAGGCAGGGAATAAAACCTGCCAACAGGCTGGTTCACCTGGAGCATCAGAGCAGATGCTCACTTTACTCACGTTTTTTTCCTTCATAGGAAACACAAACCTTTGGATGTCGTCAGGCTGATATTTACCTGTATTTGTGATGACAGGTACAACATTGCTCGTGCTTCTGTGGAGGCGAAGAACAGCAGCTCAGACTACGTACCTTCTCCAGCTCCTCCACCCTCTTCTCCAGATTTGCACCGCCGCCCTCTCGGCTGTGACGGTTTTCTCGCTGTCTGATGTTCCCACCAGCCTCCTCTTCCATCCCCTGCCTTGCAGAGCTGCAACAAATTCAAACAGACCATATTTAAACCTTGATCAACTTTCATATATCGGTCCTTTAACTTCACGTCCTTCATGAAGTTCTAAAAAAAAATAAAAAAAATAAAGAAAAGAGTGACATTTAGGTCTTATTGTCTCCATTCACAGAGGCCGTTTGAAGGTATGAATCAGAGGCACATTATTAAACTTCAATAGGATGACACATCTATCATGAAAAGAACAGGTGGGAATATCTTCAGCATGTTTGCGCTTTCAATTAGGCCTGAATTATTAACAACCCCTGTGCTTCTTATTCTTTTAATGGTGAAGAGAAAGATGAGGATTTGCAATTTCTGTATAAAAAGGTTTCTGGTTAAGAAACATTTCATATATTCCAGCTTCAAAAGCCTCCTAGCGTGGCAGTAGCAAATGCGCGTCACTGTTCTTGAGTCGCAAGGAAAATGGATTTCGAGGTTTCTGAATGCACTTTGAGCGCCACACAAACTAGTTCTTATTTCTTAGACCTTTTTCCAAATAATTACTGACAAGGGGGAAACTTTAATTGCTTTCTCCGCAGAATGTGACCGGTTGGGGTGTGCTGTGGTGGCGCAGGGGTTAAGCAGAACCCCACATACGGAGGCCTTAGTCCTCGACGCAGCTGTCACAGGTTCGATTCCCGGCCTTGGCGACATTTGCTGCATGTCTTCCCCCTTCTCTCATTACCCACTTTCCTGTCAATTCACTATCAAATAAAGGCCACTAGAGCCAAAAAAAAAAAATCATCAAAAAATAAATAAAAAATGTGACCGGTTTATAAAATTCAATTGCCAGAGACTCAAACTGCAGTGGAGACGGCAGGACAACCACGCGGAGCGCACATGGTCCAGGTGCTCCACCCACAACCTCACAGCCTTTTTATTTTGCTTTCAAAATATCAGCGTGAAACATTTCCCCTTTTGAAATGAGTCCAGCATTTTAACTCTTCACTGAGTTATTTGGACGTTGCAGACTGTCCACCTTATTCATCATCAAATCAAATTAACTTTTCTCAAAGGACCAGCAAACAGATCCTTGGTACCACAGTACCACTACTTTGCTCAACAGTTTGCACAGAGTCCTAACCTTGGACAAATGCTCAATTTAATCTTGTTTTTTAAAACTATTACACATAAATCTGAAAAACTGTGATATTTGTGCATATTTTTGGTTAACTTCTAACCACAACTTTTATATGATAATTTAATTTAAGGTGGAATCTTAATTTTTAATGCGTTATGTTTTAGTAAACCAGTGGATACATGTGTGGGTATGCACAAATAGGATTAGTAAGCATCCAGGAATATGATTTGTAATAATTTACATTGCCCACATGTACAAATGTTACAACAGGAAGATCTGTTAGAAATTACAGAGAATGTTGAAAATCAACATTGTGTTGACTTTGCAAGCAGCATATCTGCATGAATTCTTTTACCAGCTCATTATTTAGTATAAAATCCAAAACTAAGAACTGAAATCTCATTAGGTTATCATCGTGTTTAAGTTTCCAGGCCTTCAGTGCCATTTATCATGAACAGCAGGTGTTTTTCTGTACTGTGACATTTACACAACCAGCAGCTCATTTTTGTTCCTTCTTACAAAAAACAAAGATTGGAGAATCCTTTGCTTTTGATCTAAGCGGAGTCCTTGAAGTTCTCTCCCTTGTACTTCTCTGCACCCAGACAGGGTACATTTCCTTTGTCTCTTTTCTTCGTTTAAAATGCATGAGCACACTGAAAAATCATCTGAACAGGACGCTTCTAAAAAAGCTCAAAAACAAAAGGCATACCTTTCATATACCTATTCCTGCCATCTCAGTGGCGCCCAGAAACACTCAACAAACCCAACAAGGGTTCTCCAGGATGCACAGCAGGGGCCGAGGCTGAGCCTAAACATCCACGGCCTCAAGACTAAATATCACACCGCGGCCCATTAGCACCCCACAGAGTTCGGTCTGAGAGAGCGAGAGGCAGAGCCAATCACACACTCCTGGGAGCCTCAGCAGGAGAGAGGGTTGGAAGCACAAACAGGAGGGGAAGCAGCAGCAGCCACAGGTATACCAGCGTCTTTCCACAAACTCATGTGCTGATGCAGAATAAGCCATATCTCCACCTGAAGCCACATGACGGAGTATTAAAGCGCTGGATTTGCAGCCTGCTCACTTCTGATAACATGAAACAATCTCTCCATTCAGAGCTCCAAGGTTAGAAAGCGAGTCAGTGAGGTCACTGAAATACGACAGCGTACCAAATAAAAATAGGCTTTTCACCAAGCAGGATGTTCATCACCCCGTCATGGGTAACAAAGCTGAGTTAGTCGATGCAAACATGCAAATTTAATGGGAATGCATCCACAAGGCATATGTAGCCGCTAAAAGCTAAGTAGAAATCCAAACATGGTGATGCTAAGCAACTAGACAGACTGATTTCAACACAATATAACTCATAACACCAAATGAAAATTCTTATACATTATTGTTAAGATTAAAGCAATAAAGTGCTGGAAAGAAATAGGCATTGATTTTATTTTACTGCATCAACTGTCTTCAGTCAGAGGCCTCTTCTAATTTGTTGCAGAACTGACTGCTACCTTCCTAGCCACAGCATCACCATCCACAATGAATTCTTTGAAGATTTGTAAAAGATATGAGTTACAACATTCATAATTAAAGTATTTCTGAATTTATCTGTAATTAAACAACTTTTTTTTGTTAAAATATTATTTAAGGATTTACAGAGGTATAGTCAAAGTTGTTCATGCTAGAAAACCCTTCAGGTGGGCTGAATTAAACTAATTCATATCAATGCAAAAACATTGTTTGCAAGATTTCATCCTTTACAGGTTGGTTTGGACAGATTTTTTCTCGTTGTTTTTGTTGATCTGAAATGTTTAAGAGTGACAAATGTGCAAAAAAGGAAGAAATCTGCAAATAGATTAATATTAAATTTTCAAAAGTAATAAAAAAAAAAAATCTTTCGGACCTTAAAGTTACACAGATGCGTTAGAACAACACACTTTCCAACAGGAACATTTTAAAGACAGTAAATTAGAGAGTGCTTTGTATTGTTGCTCCTTTAGCCGTCTTGTGCGGCCTGGCCCACCTGGCAGGTTATCTGTTGCAGAATTGCAGAGCATCCACGTGTAGCCGGGCCAGCTGATGGGGCAGAAGCCATAATTACACAGACAGATTGAATGTCAGCTTGAGAAACAGGCTCAGGGTTGGACTAGAACTGCTCACTTTGAGTGCACAGACAGCAAAACAAATACTGTGTCCTTCATTATCAAGTAAAATAAATAAATAATTGAGTTTTAGCGATTTATGTCAAGGGGAAAAATAACTATACAGGAAGAGAAAACATGTCTGCTCGGAAAAAGAGCCAAAGCTGATGTTTGTCGACTTCGAGAAGAAGAAGAAGTTCAAAAGCCTTTCATCAAATGCCAGAGCAAAGCTAAACCAAACTGACCCAGTCATTTCCCACAAAACCTTTCAAAGCAAGCCATTTACTTTCAGCACTCCATGTCTGCCACAGCAGGGAAGTGATGGCCTGAACAAAGTGTCATAGGTCCAGATGGTATCCTGTCAGCTACTGTTCAAAAAACAGCCATCAGCCATCATCCTTCTTGAACTACAACAGCAAGAAACAAGCTGCATCGAGAAATCAAAACAGTCCAGCAGTTTCAGAGAAAATCTTGCAACCTTTATCTCCAGGCTTCTTTTCACTCACTTGACAGATTCGTCAAAAATTACACTTCATGCCTGATCAAAATCAAAATGTGAATCTCACCTCTTAAAACGTCCAGAAGCAGCTTTAGGGGTTTCCTGCAGAAACAAATGGGGAAAATTATGCTTAATTTGCATGCACAATGTATTAGCAGGAAAATATAACTGTTCGTTCCATCTGCCCAAGGTTGTGTTGGCTCACCATGAGGAGAACAAAAAGACATCCACAGAAATAAGAGAAATTCATCAGGAGAAGCATTTATAAAGAGCCTTAAGGTTGTGCATGAAAGTTCAAAAGCAGCAGCTGCTGAGCTGATATAAATGGGCTTTGTTTCATTTCATAGTTCAACACGAATCTGTAGCCTCAAGTTGGAAAAGGCAATCTTGTTTTGAAACATGGAAGGGATGTTTTCTCTCTCTTATTTTCCCATTACTGTATAATCTAAAAAAGATCTGAAGATTGTTTAGATCTATCCAGCAGTGAGTGGCGTCGCCTTCAGGAAAACCTCGCTTTTGAGAAAAATGAAGTGTGAGTCGCAGGTTCTGGGAGATGAATGCGGATCTCCTTTTTCCTGAGGTTCTGTGCAGTGAAGGGTCCGACGGTTGATTGAAGAGCCATTGTTCTGCTAGACTCCCTTCATCAATGCTCTTTTTTTTTTTTTTTTTTTTGTTTCACACATGCAGCCATCTTTAAGACTAACATGTATGAAAAAAGTAGAATTTTGACAACATTTTTGGTACATTTCCAACAAAAACATGAACTAAGTTTCAAGGAGGTGGATTTTTGATGCAGAAATGGGTGTGAACATACTTTGATTTAACTGCAGAAAAGCAAAAATTCGCCTGAAAAATTAGTAGAGATAAGAGTTACACAAAATGTAGTCACAAACATTAAATTTTCATTGTGTGCCTTGCTTTGACATCAATACACCAGACAAAAGATTATTCAGCTATGTGCTATTCTATACTTCAAGTTGCTGAGCTTTATTAAACTGCATATATTTTTTTATATTTCAGTTTGTTTTTTACATATATAAGGTCAAAATAATTGTGCATGCGCTTACAAAACACATCCACTGACTTGTTTACCTCAATCAAAAAGACTGATTTCAGTAAGTATGCTGTCTAAATGTAAATGTGTGTTTATTGCTATTCCTCCACACAATGCCGCATGTTGAATAAAGTATGAAAAAAATTACATAAATCCCTCCTGAACTGAGCTTGAATAGCTTCCATTAGCAATCAAAACTGCTGCTGCTGCAGTGTTTCTAAGGTAATTTGAAACAGATGAACAGAGGTAATATGGAACAGAAATTAATCAATCACAAATGCAAGAAAAGGGAAGTTCATCCCCAAATATGTAAGCAAAGTGAAACACACAAAACCATCTGTTCGCTTAACCAAATCCATATAAATGTACTTCATCATTTATGGTTTTGACTGGATTAAGCTTATAAGTCACTCTTTTTAATGTGTTTTCCATAACTATTTGAAATCAGAAGAAGGATGTTAAAGTATTTTTTGTACAAAGAATAGTTAATGTGAACCATGCACCGCTTTAAACTTTCAAAACAACAAAGATGGAGCACACCCTGCCACCCAGGACTTTTTATTACAAGACCAAAATGTCATACTTTTCAGTTTACAATTTCCAGAGTTTGTCATAAATACATTAATGTATTTATAATGAATATGAAACCTGATCTGGAAAGCTGACAGAAGCTACTTTTAACACAATATATTAACATTATAGTTTGTTCCTTCAGGTGTGAAAGTCTTTTAATTTAATCAATTAAAAGATTACATTTTTTAATTTAAAAAAAATTTTTTTAGATGTTTTACTGAATATTTTTGTTTTAAAAATCTTGATTCATTCCGTCATTCTGCAGTAGTTTATTGACTACAAAGACGCTGGTAGTTTATTAAACAGTTTCTGATTTGGATTGAGAGTGATTATTCACTTCATTCAGTAAAGAAACTAAAACTAAATCTCATCAATATTGTGTTAGTGCGAAACCCATTTTATACTTTAAATAAACCAGCTTTTACTTTTTGTTCTCCTTTGCTGAAGGTCTACTTCGATGTTGGTTCTATTTTGCAGAAATGTATATTGAAGTCAGAAGGCAATCTGAAATAGATCATGCATGGAATAAATTGGAAAATAATCAACAGTCAACATAGTTGACAAGACACAATTTTCAAGTTTCACTTATAAGAATGTTTCCACCCACATTTATTTACAGACTATGACAAATCAAAAGTAGCACAACCTAAATGGAAAACACTTGTCACAAAAACACCTCCCAAAATTTTATTTGCCACATCATTAAACACTTTTAAACTACTTATTCATCATCCCTGGGCCGGTTTGACGCGCCCCATATGCTTCAGCACAGAGCTCAGACACAAACATATCTGGAAAATACCTTCGTCATACCTAGAGCAAAATAATCCTCGGTGTTTATCTCTGTTCTGTCTTTTCTATTTTTCTTGAGGAACTTAATAATTTCAGTAGAAAAAGCTTAAACAAAAACGCAAATGTGGCTTTTTCAAGAAGAACAAAGGCTCTGATGCTGGGAGATAATTCCTGGCTCCTAGAAGAGGAAAATGTGTATTTAAATAAAAACATTTGTAGATTTTTTGCTGACATTTACTCAACATGTAACTGAAAACATTAAGGTTCAATCTGATTCCTCTGTGCCTCACTGGGCTATTGTTGGAATGTTTTTTCCACTGTTCTCACATTTTATTAAGAAGCTGTCAGAGTTTGATGCCAGCTGCAGAAAAAGAGCTTAAAATGCCAATCTTTGATGAAGTGAAGGTGGAAACATGACAAGTGTTCACTCTAAACACCGGAAGACATATTCAACTGTTGTCTCCATTTGGAGTGCTAAATGTGATGCTTGGGGAAAAAAAAAAAAAGAGTTAAATCTGTGTGTCCTTTCCTCATCTAACATTTTCTCAGAGGAAGAAATGTTAGAGCATGAATCATAAAAATCATATTTAGACGTTTCCATTTGTGCTTAAAGCAAATTAGTTTTTCCATTTTAAGCAGATTTTTAAGTCTTTTATAGCTGGGGTTTCCAAAAATTTGCTTAAATAAATCAAAAATATCTCTCTCCAAATATTTAGCTGCAGCTGCAACTTGTTTTCCTCAGTGTCTGAGCCAAATGAGAAATATTGTATACCTCTATTCTGACTTCCTTTCAAACTGCATCCTCTTAACATTTTGACAGTGGCATCAATATAATGTAGTTAAATCATTATGAGTGCAACACAAATATTAATAATTTAGGAAAGTTGAGACTTTTACCTGCTTCCATTCACTGTCACCGTGTAACACAACCAAAGCACGGCTGGCTAATGTAAAATATGCCGATGAAATGGGAGTGTTTACATAGTAACTGGTTGGAACAGGAGAAGAAATTACTTCTAGTTTTACATTTAGTTTTTGTCACAAGCAGGCATTCCACTGATGCAAGTTAGAGAAAATTGATTTTCCAAGCTTCCACTAGACAAACGGGATTGATCCTTAATTTCACAGATCACCATTAATCCTTGTTTTACAGAAATTTGTAAAACTAGTCAATTCGCCGTCACCACTTGAGAGGCTATTGTGCTCCTTCGATGGAAAAGTTTGGTGTTTTTATAGCCATAAGCCTAAACCAAGTTACAAAGGAAAAAAAAAAAAAGTAAAATCTATAACGTATACGTATTAAGAGCCCACATTTCAAGCACTGTATGTGTCTCATTACCCTACTTTCATTGCTCACAGTAAAGATAAGCACTTTAGCTGTGATTCAGAGGTGTGAATAAGTATTTGTTCAGACGGAAACAAGAAATGCGATGAAAAAACAGCTGCTCCTGCAGGAAATGTCACATGACTGATGTTGAGTAATTCTTTGTTTAAATCTGTTCTACATCAGAACTGAGAGGCGATAATTAAAAATGCAGATGAGGCTTGTTAAAAAGAGCTAAACTTAGAGAGGCGTCACGTTATCTGCTCCGGGTTGAGAGTGAGACCGACAGACAGACCTGGCGCCACTTTAAAAGCAGGTAATCCTGAGTTATGTTCCATATGTCGGTTTCTTTTTTCTTTTTCCTCCTGTAGGACTTGGAGAGCAGAGCAGGGGTAAGGCTGGTTAAGCAGGACCACATGACTGCAGAAGGATATCACAACATATGAAAAAATAAAAAAAACACGGATAAGAATCATTTTTCCATGCTCGTAGACGTGACTTGGACTTTCTGTTCTAAACAAGAAAAAATACGGCTTGTTTTGTTTGGAATAAATGCTCCGAGACCTGGAGAGACATTTAGGAGTCGGATGCAGCCCTGTAAAAAAATCTGAACTGAGAATCTCTTGAACACTTCTCTTCCTCCAGATATCTTCATTCCAGCAAGCAGGTGAAAACTGTATATCATAACACTGCTGCCACGGCAATCACTTGTCTAGTCATGATACAAGGAGTTCGACAGGCACGACTATTTTTTCAAGCTGCTCCTACTTCACATGTCAGTTTGATAGCTGCATAGGGAAACCACAGTAAAAAATGTATCCCTGCCGCTTATGGAACAAGCTGTCAGAATAAAAGTATATGTTTTAAAAATCAGTGACAGCTATATATGAATGGATATGGAAGATCCTGCACATCTGGTTTATGTCTGCACATACATGAAGGTGTAAAATGAAGCTTAGATTATTCTGTTTCAAGTGACAATATCACAATTTGAGCACCTAATACAAAACTAAAGCAGTGACAGAAAAGATCTAGCAAGCAGGCCAGAAATTTAAGTGACATAATAAAGATGGTCTGGCTTTAATTTATCAGTTTGGAAAAAGAAAAGCACTTGTGACACCAAATATGTAAATCTGACAGCTTTCAAATAGAAACATTTTCTGCTCAGCACACTCTCCTCTCTAAGCATCCAAATACCTGTTTTGTAGAACAAAGAAGTAGTGAATGGAAGCAGCTGAAAATCTTTCTTCACATAGCCAGTTTATATTGGATTAATTAAATGGAGATCTGTCAATGTTTGCTGACAACCTGCTTAAAAAAATACTTTCATGATCTGACTGCAGACCATGAAAAAGTCATCCAACACAGCTGTGCATGAAGTGTGTCCCAGTTGCTTAACTTTTGGATCTTTTGACTTTTTGTAATATTGCAGAGAGACTGCTTTTGGTGGCTGAGGAGTCTTTGAGAAGAGAAGGAGTGCTTACACCTTCATTTTTTTTAAGAAGCGCACAACTCCAGAGGCTCCTTTTTGGTTCATCAAAGTTTTTCTCTTTTTAAAAAAGTCCATTCTGATTTTATGGTGCGTTCACACCAAACGCGTTTTGAGCGTTTGACATGTCAAGAGTTTCCAATGCGTCCGAATAGCTCGAACGATTTCGACGTGCTTCCATGTAGACTTTGAATGTAAACCAGACGCGTGAGATGGTAGGTGTAGAGCAAAATGTCAAGCGTCTGCATTCAGAGTGAACATGTGTCGAACCTGAGCTGTGAACGCACCGTAAAGTTTAATACGTGCAAGATTTTTTTGTTAAACTAGAGGACTGACGTCTTCTATTCTAAGTCGGATGCGTGGCAAAGCTGAACTCCTCGCTGTTTGTTTGCAGTTTAGCAAATTCCTTACTTTTGATTATTGGTTTATTCTTTAATCACACAATCTTCCTGGTAAGCATGGTATTCGTGTGCACATTTCATACACAAGCCTCTGCTCGGTATAAACAGCCTCAGACAGTTTCTGCCCAAAACAAAATAAAGCCCATTGATGCACAACAGCCAATCCATCTGGAACGTGACTACAACCTTCATCCATGCAGAGTTGTCACACAGTGGAAGATTCTTCTTAAAAAAAAAAAGAACAGAATAAAGAAGGCAATTTTCATGTCAGTCAGAAATAAAAGAAAATACTTTTTTCGTCATTGTGACACAGCGTGATGGATTTCAACCCCCCTCTGTGCTCAGCCTTTTATTGGGAATCACTGTGTTCATTTGGAGTTGGTGTGAAATTAGATTGCGTTTTGTAGAACATAAACTGCTCTGAAACATGACTTAAGTATTTCATTTTCACTTATTCACTTATGTTTTCATTTTGCAGACCACTTATCAAAATTAATACAAGGAAGTGCATTCTGTCTCTGCATGGATTCCATTTGAATAAAATAATCACACTGCTGGTTGGAAAGCTAAGGAAAAAAACAGACATCATAAGAAGCAGAGCTGGAAACAGGTTCCCAAATACAGTCGGGTTCCCCCCCCCCCCAAAATACCTGGTTTTAAAAAGATCCCTCCACCAAAACTTAAAGGTTTAAACCATTTTAAACGGTATTTTATGTTTCTTCATTTCTCTTTCAACTGGAGTTCCCAGGGATGATGAAATGCTGAGACACCTTCGTGTTTTGAATCACGGCTTTCTTTTCACACAAGCTCAGCTGAGCTCTGCCAGCGTCTTCCTGTGCAACAGTGCCTCTGTTTGGCAGCACAGAAGTAACAATCTGCGCAGCGCACTGGCTGGGAATAGACAAGACATTGCTCCTCTGCATCTGAAGCTCTTACCAGCAGGTAGCCGGTGGCCGGGTCAGCCGTCATAGACTCATTCTGGAAAGTGTTGGTCTGAACCAGCTCCTCTTCCTCACGTCTGTCTTTTTCTCCTGCGTCGTCGTCGTCCAGCTCATCCAGGCTCTGACAGGGAAAGAGAATATAAAGAAAGAAAAAAATTTAGAAATAGAGTAGAAATATTTTTTCTGCAACCATTTTTTGCTGCACAAGTATGTTTTATATAGATAAACAGACGGTAAGTCCATCAGAATCACCCTTTTGCTTCTTTTTAAATCCTGACTAAGCATGCTAAAACTCACTTGCAGGAATCAGGAGCTAATTATACACCAACACAAGATCAACTGGTGAAGCATCAGGAAAATAACCAGCCTGCTTGGGGGACTTTTGGGCTGAGGGGATTTTTTTTAAAGAGGAATCTGTTTTGATAACAATAAACAGCTTGCACAAACATGCAAAGAACCAACATCCTTTTGAAAGAAAAGAAAGGCATTTAGCTAAAAATATTCAGGCAGAGATCTCGGATAGCGCCTGGGAAACTCTCCAGATTCACTCCTGGTAATATGGATTTTTTTTCTCCATCTAGAAATCTGTGCAAGAGCTCAGTTTCTAATTCCATCCCTTCTGAGTCAACACGGACACAAAGTTGGAGTGTCGGGAGAGAGAAGTGATGGATAAAGGCATTCCACAAACAGATTTACATAAGGATGGAGGCCTGGACTGTGACAAGAGGTTGAGAGAGAGGCCGCAGTCTTGGAGGGTCATGATTTAAACCAGCCTTTCCTGTTTCACACTGCAAAGTGAACAAAAGATGCCAGCTCAACAGGCCCTTCAGTGGTAAAAATAGCCTTACAAGGTTAACAAGGAATGCAGTCGTTTGCAGGCCTTTCCTGTCAAAGTGTTTATCAGTTCTCCTTAGGGAAAATGCCAGCTCTTTTCCTCTTTAGCTGGTTTTATGCTTGCACTGTAGCTTTGCAATGTCCCTCAGAGGATCTGAAGGGGTGGCACGCGGGAAACCAGCAGTTTTGTCGGCGCAGAAAACTTTCCATCGAGGCAAAAATCGGGGTGGGAGAAAAATGTACAAACATGGCAACAAATCTTCACTCCCGTTTTTCTCATATGGTGTTTTCCACCCTCTCGTTACCTTGGATACCATCAATTACATGTGGTAATGATATAGTCCTAAAAGAACAGCCATCAAGGAGTCTCATCGATCATTTCTGGCATGTTAAGAACACCCGATGGTTTCCAAACCAAAATCTTTGAATCCTGTTTTGCCAGTCATGTACAGGGCTTCTGTTAACAACTGAAAAGGAAACATCTCTGTTTCACTTTGCATTAAATAGTTCAATACCGGTTATTCCTATTGCTAAATCAGAATGTGTCTGTGATCCGACTTGTTTATGTTTATGTACTGCATGTTTTCTCCATTGAACATTTCTACAAGAGTCCCTTAAAAACACCGTTAAGATCTGATCAACTTTTTCCTCATTTTAATGCATGTATGGTTATCATTTGTTTCAATGAAGGAATTAGTGCAGAAACAGCATCACCAAAACCAAACCAGACAGGTCTGAGATAAAGCTGTGGGGAGGTTCAAAGTTTATGAAAACACTTGCAGGACACTGTCTGCTAGTCTGCTATTTTTTAAATAAGGATGGGAGCCTTTAATGGTTCTGACATAAAACGCCACCAATATGTGGGAAACAGGATCTTTTGGGGTTACCAAAATAATTACATTAAACAGAAGTCTGCTTGTGTCAACACAAAGCGAACTGCTCAGTGACCAACCACTCTGCTATGCACAAACTTCCCTGAAATGTTGAATCGGGGACCTCAACGTTTGTTTTGGATAGAAAGGCAGCTCTCTTTTTTCACCCTGTAGGATTCAAAATTGCTTTGCATTTCCATCTATTCCAAATAAAGGGAAGAGAAATCTGCGCGTGCATCCATATAAGGGAATCTTCTGCTCCTGAGCTCATCATAATGTGTGCATTTTTCTGGTCACTTTTTCACCCTGGACAGCTGAAATAAGCAGTTTGGGTGCTGAGGGATGATTGTGCAATGCTTTGACTCAAACGTCAAGCTAATATTAGATGTTACACACAATGATCTGACAGTTTTTATCTATTATTTACACATTCTGCACCAACTTCAAGTTTTACTGAAACAAACCAACATCTGATTTATATTTGAAATTCTGCAGAATGATCTTTTAATGATCTGAATGTTTGCATACTCAGTGAAACGGCTTAGATGCAGGTTTTTCCACAAATATGGTCAATCAAACTCCTGACTTAATTTAATTTTGTGAAGTTAGGTTCATGGAATCCAGCTGTGACTACTTGCATAAAATGAAAGCTCTTCCAATCAAAGCACTGCAGTTTACAAATTCCTGCACTGATGAATTGTGTAATAAATGACAAAAAGATATGCTGAAGTTCTGATAAATGTGTGCCTATCGTCATACCACTGACAGTTCCAGAAATGTTGCACTGAAAACTTGCTTCCTGTTTACAAAAGCATAGTGTGAGGGCGTTGAAGGAGTTTACATAAGCAGAACAAGGAAAACAGTCACCCCGCTTTGCTGCGATCTCCATACCCACGTCTGTCGCTCTGCACATGAAAAATTAAAGAAGCTACATCTGGAGCAGAACTTCACGGTCTGCTGGAATGTCTGTTGTGGTTGGAAACTCTTTGGGGAGGAAAATGATCAGTCCATTTTTTTTATTTTTCCCCGACGGTTCATCTGTGGCTGGCTGCAAAAATATATCAGACTTTTTCTACAGGACAGGAGGCTTTACCCTTATGCTCGGCATTTCAGTTAAAAATGACTGCATGACGGCAAAGGATGCAACTGATGATTGGCTGTCAAAAACTGAGCCTTTTTTTTTTTTCAAACCCATCTGACTCGAGCACATACACCTCATACTAAAGGAGTGAAAAGATCCTCTTGCTCAATACCTTAAGGTCTTTTGATTTGCATATGAATATATAATAAAAATGTAAAATCTTCATGAAAAAGTCATTCAGGGGAACTGTTGTTGCATCTATGCAAACATAAAAAATGACATTCTTCAGGATGAATAAAAAATAACTTTGGGGTCTACTGACTGCAAATTCATAGACGATTTGCACGGATGTCAAGAGGAATTTTTGATCTCGTTAACATGTTCTCAAAGAGGCTAAATGGTGATTTCATTGGAAAAGTGACCTCCTGCTTCAACAGTCGCCCAGGATTTCATATGTCCAGGTTTTTCACTGTGCCAGTGTCTCGTCCACTTCATCTCAAAATTAATCTCTAAACAAGCCGTGGGCATCTTCAGTGGAAGTATGCTCATGCAGGGGATTTAACGACCGGTGTGCATTAATCACCCGTCACTCACTACAGCACAGAGACTTCATTAGGATGATCCATTAGGAAAGAGATAAACTCACAAGCTGATTAATCACGACTGCCAGCTTGGTCAGGTCCCAACACAGGGCAAAACGCCTCGGAGCTGACAGATAAGACGCTGGTACTACCAAGGTTAGTGTCACAGGTATTTCAAATCTGAATTTATCAGATAAGAAATTTGTGATTGACGGCTTCATGTAAATACGACATGTACAGCTGAAATCAGAACAAAACCCCAAAGATTTTGAAGGATTATTCGTAAAACATTTTCAGAGAGCAGTTTGCGGCTTTTGAAGATTTATTTATGAGTTCAGATGCACGATAATTTGGGCAGCAGAACATGAATTGAACATGTGGCACGCAGTGTTTTTAATTGATGCTGCGAATCCAATTTGACTAGCAATAAATGAAATACTTCACTAAATAGTGGTACGTCCTTCTGCTTCAGGTCTGTTGCAAATACAGACCTCAGACAGAGAGCAGCATCCAGACAAGAAAAACTCCAGATTCTTAATTTGCATTCAACGTAATTTCAATAATTTGGGCAACTTTTTTATCTACACTTTTTTATTATTTAGGTGCACTAGTACATTTTACTAAGATAAGTCATGTCACAGTTATTCAAAATTAATATTGTTGCTTTTAAAGCTTTTTGATAGTATTTTTAATAAGGTTAAAGCAGAGAGGATCCTTAATTTGCTGCAGCACTGATGTAAATATTCCATTCAATCTTGTCTCAGCTTTTTGGTCCTGCTTTGCACCCATAAAACCTAGTATTATTTGATGGGATGCCAATTAGCTCCCGGTTGTTAAAAAACAAAGAGCAAAAAAACGTGTTGCCATGGTTACACGTGAAAACTGTCAGAAAGCAAAAAAGAAAAAAAAAAAGTGTGAGCAGAAATCCTTCCAGCTGCACTAAATCTAAACTTAGTGGGAATAATTGCAATGCCTCAGCCAAAAAACAGCATAACAGAGGAACATCATGCCCAGGAACCCTAAATATTAAAGTCAGTTAATGCCACATCCACATCCCTGTAATATCTTTTGAAATAAGGAATATTTAAGTGCAGCTCTAGATAAATGAGGTAAAGGGTCTTTAAAAAGAAATCAAAACATAAAAAATGGACTCATCTGCTCTCAGTTAATCTCTACTCTCAAGAAGTTTCTTTAAATTTAGTATTCAGAGCAAATCTCTGCATGACCTCCATCTAACCAGTAAAATATTCAGAGATCAGAATCCCTTTCAAGTTCATTCTGAAAAATATTACATAATTCCCCCAAACAGGACACACTCTGAGCACTGAGGAAAATAAAAATAAAAGCTAAAACCTGCATCTGCACACTATATATATTTACTCTTGCACTATTCAGAGTATAAAACAGCTGGTTTCAGAATGGTTTGAAGTCAGATTTACATATATGGATTGTCTGTGAAGGTGTTCTTTGGGGATTGAGTTAAGTCAAACATGGTGCAAAACATTCAAAGGATCAAAGTCTGTTTTGGCTTCGAGGGCTGGACAGCTTTCTTCAAAAATGACCGTAACATAAGAGAAATTCTAACAGTTTGGCTTTGAACTTGAAAACTGTGTGACCCCTTAACCCCAAGTTAGGCACTAGTAACTTAATCAACACTGAACCAAACCATAAATAGAGTCAGAGCAAACAAAAAGCTTTAAGCAAATAAGCAGGAGAGTCTCTGGTTGCGATTGCTGACCCGGTGAGCAGCAGC